GTATCTGCGTCTGGCCGGGCTATATCGAGGCTCTACACTRTATACTCGTGGGTGGTGGCAGCCATAGCTGCCTGTTCCTTCGTCAGAGTTGTCCATCGGCACTGAAGACTTCATCGCAGGACCCGTTCTTCTTCAGGGCGGTTGGCGCTGGCCTCTGGGAGGCCAATCTGATGTGGCGCTACTAACTGGGTGTAGGATAGAAAGTGGGGTGTGAGTTCTGAGAGTGGCGAGATACTGGGACAAACTCTGTTACGATAATTGTTTGAGTGGCTCATCATCAGTATGGATTTCAATTGTGATCTTCGCAGGTTCTATCTTGTGACTGGTTGTTGGGAGTTGTGTCAGAGAGTGAGAAACACTGTGTGTTCTCTCCCCATCTGTGCATGATTGTCTTCCGCTGCTTATTTTCACCTGTGTGCAGTTTGGACTTTGTCTCCTCTCTCCCCTTCTCTTATGCATGTATGGGCATGTGTGAGATTGTCTGTGTGAGTGGCGATAAAATTCGTCTGACAACCAAGTTCATAACATGTGTATGTAAAAGTTTGAAGACTCTAAAATTGGGAATACATGTGATACATATTATTATATCTTTGGGAAAAAAAAAAAAACAAAAAAAAAAAACATACGTGTACACGGGTTTGTGGTCACGTACGTATACAGCATGCAACACAGGTTTAAAGGTTGTAAAAAATGAGCAATAGCTGAACGACTGAAACTATACACCTCTTTTCAATAGCAATCGACATTAAGATCAACTGGGAGCCAAAGCAGAAAGAGGGTGACTTCATTTGGGAGAACGACCCGCCTGAAACTTTGAAAAATAAATTAAAAAATGAGGAAGATGTTAGCAGAAACTTACTTGTCATATTCACAACCGCTGGATTATTGGACGGGAGAAACCGCAATCAGAATAACAGTGAACACATTGACTCGTAAGTTGAGCGGATTACATACACATTGACAGAGCGAACCGTGTCAATGAGTAATATTGTTTCATTAAAAATGTGTTAAAACGTAAGTCTTTTGCCAACTTAAAAAAAAAAAAAAAACACAAATGCAGAGCTGCTCTAACTAGGTACCTCTACCAAAGTGATAATGAACATGCAAAATGTCCAAAGAATCGACCCATCTGACATTCATCGGATAGTGCACCTACTCAAATGGCTATCAAATGATAGCTGGTCTCTTCTAAGCCCACTAGAAATTAAAAGAGATGGGTTGTTGGCCAACCAGCAAGGTGAAAACGGTTGTTACACCTATTACGGACTAAGTTAATAATAATATGGAAGGAGTGTGGACAAATAAATAAAAAGCGCATTCTCATTTTTGAAAACTCATAATGGGAACATGTTATCTCTGCCACAAATAAATAAAGTCTATTCATTCTTTTGGGTAAATAAAGGAGTCTTTACAGAAGGGGAATTGTGGAATCCCTCCATTATGACATGGAAGTTATTAAACCACCAGTATGTGGCCCGGCTATCGGCCACCAGAAAGAAAAATAGAGTAGAAACCTTTTTGGACAGATGAATTTGGGTGCTACTATAGTGGCCCATACGTTTCCTAAAATCAAGGCTCGTTAACAAGCACAACTTTAGGAAGTACTTGTGGTTTAAAACAAGTTTCGGATTAACTAAAAATTATTCACCATCTTCCGAAGAAAATGAGAATGATCTAAGAGGTGGCACTATTGGGATTTGCAACTAGGGCTGAAAAAAGGTCTGAAAACTCAAGAGTGATAACTGGGTAATCCAACACTCTGCACTACCTATTCCCATGCAGTGGACGCAACCCAGGTCTCCCTTAAAGCACACACCCCATTTTTGACATGAGCTCGATTGACAAGTTTCCCTGCAAAGTTGACAATCTAGTTTTTCTTTGCGGGTTAGCTTGCCTTTCTTTTCTTTTTCTTTTTGTGAACAGTTGTTTGTTTCGTTCTATCTTGAAAAGTTCTAATTTTCGTTGGATTTTAGCCATTGTTGCTGCCCTCATCGTTCAGGATTGTGCTGCTACCGGGAATGAGGTTGGCTGTAGAGCCTCTCATATCCCGGTGGGCACTGCATAAGCTGTGCGGGACGCTGGACCCACTCCCAAACAAATGAAGGTACTTTTTGTGTTAAAAAAAGAAAAAGCTAGCATGCAAAGAAAACTAGATTGTGAAGCCTCTTTGTAGTCGGTCGTGTTTGTTTGGTTCTGTTGCAGTAAAGTTTTAGTTTTTGTTGGATTTTACCCATTGTTGCCCTCATTGTTCATGATAGGGCTGCTACTGGGGATGAGCTTGGCCGGAGAGCCTCACATATCCTGGTGACTGTGGGATATGATGTGAGGGGCACTACTCGTGTTAAAAAAAAAAAAAAAAAAAGCGGGCATGCAAAGAAAAACTACATTGTCAAGCCTCTTTGTGGTCGATTGTGTTTCTTCGGTTCAATGTACGAAAGTTTTAGCTTTCGTTGGATTTTTGCCATTGTTGCCCTCATTGTTCGTGATTGGGCCGTGCGATCGGGGATGAGATTGGCTGGAGAGCCTCACATATCCTGGTGGCTGCGGCATAAGACGTGAGGGACGCTGGGCCTGCTTCCCAGCAAATGAAGGCATCTTTGTTTAACAAAAAAAAGAAAAGCCAATCTAGCACGCAAAGAAAAACTAAATTGCCAACCTTCCTGGGCACAACTTATTGGTGAGAGTTCACGAGGACAAAGACTTGGGATAGTGTGCGTACAAAGTGCTCAGCCCTACATGTTATCTTTCATTTAACCCCTGCAATGGGAGTGGCAGGGGCACACATCCACACTACAGTCTTCCCCCGAACACAACGCACCCTTATTTTGGCTGTATCTGGCCGGAAATATAGCTTGTATACATTCGTTTCTAGGGAGCGTTACGTTCGGCGGAAGATGGTCGTCTGGAAATAGTAAAACACACAGTCAGAGGGGCATATAAAGCCAATCGAAAGATTCCCGTAACAGCAGATGTGCTTAAGGTAGAGAGCTTGGGAAAAGGATTCTCCCCTACCAAAAGAAACCCTCGCATGACTTACCAAGGGCACTTTCTCCAAAACCATGCATACTTCGCGTAGAGACCTGCAATCACAAATTTTGTTAAGCCGTCTGCCTACTCTAGACAAAATAATAGTGTAAAAGTCAAGAGTTGGAATCGAAAGGACAATGACCACTTATATACCAACATTGGAATATTGTCTGAGAGACTGCGCTATGGCAGTCCAGATTTGGGGGGTGATGGGATGCAGCCTGGTGCTTTCATGGAGAAGAATTCTTCCAATGGGACATCCTTTTGGGAAATAAATCAGATGTTCGAAAAGTAATAAAATCATTTACGAAACAAGTCCTTCAAATATGTAAGACTCCACATTTTACTATTTTAGTAAATTTTAGTAAATTTTAAGTAAATTTTAGTAAATTTTAAATTTCCACAGGTATTTGAAGAGCAAGTTGCTTATTTGACAGAATTTTAAATTAGTGATCTTGAAGATCTTCTTACATATATTTGAAGTGCAAGGTGCTTATTCGACAGGAAAATTAACTCTTGAACAAGATGCAGCAAAGATAACAGAATCAATATAACAGGAAGGACTTGCAAAGAATTGAGAACATTTTTTTTTTTTTTTAATGGGAGAAAACAAGGCCCCTGGGCTGGGGTTACTGATATTGCAGTCACCCCTAGCAGCCAGGTGGCTGGCTCCAATTATATTGGTGAGGACTCTGAGGAGCTTCACCTCCTTGAAACCGGCTCCAACGTTGAATCGACGGACCAGAGGGCGCGACATCTTTTTTTTTTTTTTTTTTGAACCTTTCTCAATTTATGCAACGTTGAATCGACAGACCAGAGGGCGCGACATCTTTATCGCGAATGTCCCGCTGAAGGGCAGAGGGCATAATCTGCTAATGCCGAGAAGCTGAGGTGTTTGATAACTAGCAAACCAGAACGGTAGTGCGATGGAGCATGATGCACAAAGCAAAACGCTTTCATTTATTTCATAGACTGTTCCAAGGAGGCCGATTGTGTGCCATCTATCAGCCATCTAAAGTAGCAACATACTTACCTACACCATCTCAATAGTCCTGGCAGCTTAGCTATGCATGACTGCATTTAGCATATGAGATTCGAAGTCTATGAAGCTGGCATGTTTATTGCCATGCGACCGCTTATGGAGGTGTGCTTCTTTAGTTGACCTGGTGTCACTATAATGTTCGGAACTCGATTTCGCCCATCCCTAAGGTTGCAGTCTACAGTCTTCCCCCGAATACAACGCACGGTCATTATAGCTGAATTTAGACTGACAGTTAGACCAAATTCAGCTATAAGGACCGTGCGTTGTATTCGGGGGAAGACTGTAGTGGGTGCCACATATGGGTCAAGGTTGCCCGAACTTTCAGGGCAGCCGACCGCCCGAAAAGGGGATCGAGACTCGAGAAACAATTTGGGTGGTTGTGTAGAGACCCGTCCTCTGTGCTCGGACAAATGACCCACAGCTATTGCCTGTGGAACCGGTACCTTTAACAAGCGCTGGACTGGTCCTGCCTTATATTTGATTACGCAGCAAAATGCAAGCAACGCAATGCAAAAATTACGTAGGCACACAGCCAAACCAGGTCGGCAGTGTCACTGCACCTGAGCCATTCTTTTTTTCCTTTTTTTTTATAGAAAGACTGTGAGGGGTGTCGGGAGGTTGTAAGGGAACAGTGCTGGGAGAGGATGTCCGACAGGGGGCTGGACGCACCTGGGCACATTCTACCACTGCGGTGCAGGCCGGGTATGCCATGCCTTGAAGAACTTGGTGGTGCCTGGGGGGGAAATGAAAATTGTAACACAGTGAAATATCTAATGCACACTTGCACCATTCGAGGCCGAATCGGCCTGCCCCTCTGGTCCAAATTCATTCGAGGCCGGGGGTACGAAAAATGCGGTAGGTACTGCTGGTTTATATGCAGACCAATTCCCTGTCGATCTATGACTTGCATGCATCTCTTATCACAGCAGGGCACGGTAAGTTCCTTTTATTAGACATTACCAAACAACAACTTTCCACAAAAAGCTCTTCAAAAATGGAAATTGCTGTGGGCCCACCCACAGAAACACATCCTCACACATCCTCACACACACCTACATAGGCACAACTGCAAACTCGCACACCCACACACACACACACACACACACACACACACACATCTCCACACACACACACACACACACACACACACACACACACACACACTGCTTTTCTCCTTTACCCACTTCTCTAGTTACTGATTCACTAAGGTCCGTGACATGACGCAGACTACTTTGCTGATCTGTTGATGCAATGACCAGAGTCACGAGCGCCGAGCAAGATGATCGGCAATACATACATATACAGTTCATGATTGACAAAATTACAGGAAGCAAAACAAGCCAACACCTCTACATGCTAGGAAAGCACAAGCAAATGTGCTGCCTAGAATAGAAGAGTGGACAGGCAAATAGCAAATAATGCAGTGCAGATCTGACCTGCACATGTTGCTTGCAGCTACTCTGCACAATGGCAACGTACGTTGCCCACCTTACACTCACCACCACCTTCCAAGGAACGGTCATCTATCTTGTCGAAAGGACTTCGACGAGAGAACCAGATTGCGAAATTGCAGGCGCCGAGCAGAGCACTTCGACAAGAGAACCACATTACGCAGTCGCACAATTGCGCCAAACAGAGTCCCTAGGGTTGTAAAGTTGTGGACAGTTAACCCCTGTAATCAGACTTTCTTGCTGAAGAATGAAGAGATCGTCGTCTGGCTGCCTCTTTTTCCTCCAACATCCATCAGCATAGTTCGTCCTGCCTTGCCAGGGCTCGCGAATGGCATGGCTTTGTTGACTCCCGAACCCTTCCACGTTCTTTCGGACTCAACTTCGACAGAGGGTGTGTGTTCTTGTTCTTTACGTTCTTTCAGCTTCTTCACATTACTATCTTCTCCTGACCGCTCACCTGCAATGCACGCATCGCTCACAGTGCCTGCTTTTCGCTTCACACCCTGAGATGATCTCTCATCATTTTCTCTTCGGGCCCTGCCATCACTGTTTTGGTTTGCGGTCGACGGCGTTGAAAGGTGTCTTACCTGCACCGATGTGTATGCTGTCCCTTGGTTCACATTTGTCATGCCCGAGGCAGTCGTACGGGATGCATCTGTCGACCATTCCAAACATGCACAGTCAGATAGGCCTCTCTTTCCCTGTGCGTTTTCGAGAACTTGCTGAGTGCTCGACGCCACCACTTTCTCGTCCTTCGGATTTATCACGAATTCCGTCTTATTGGTCGTAGTGGGCGCCAAGCTATCATCTGTGGCATGCACTAGAGTCGTTTGCCGTCCAGAGGTCTCCGAACCCTTGTCCCTTTGCTGTTGGTCTATGGGAGAACCATTCTTAGCGTTGTCAAGGTCTACAGCATCAGCTATGGCTTCCCATTCCTCCTCTGTGATGTCATCTGCAGTGCAAGACTCAAATTGTCTCCGATCGTTGCCCGATGATTTCTTTTCACTCTTTTCATCAAATTGAATGCCGGACATTGTGGTCGTCTCATTGTTGCTCCCTTTGCCACTCACTTGAGAGCCTGCAACGGGGCTTTCACGGCTCGGTGACACTGCCACGGGCGAAGAGCCAATGCCTGGTTTTGCCGGTGCTTGCCCTTTGTCGTCACTACGATCCATCTCATGTTCCGAAGGAGTTCCCATGGGCTTCGGCAGCGACGCCTCTGATGCACCCGCACCACCATTGTTGTTGGCTTGCCGCTTGAACATCATGGCAAGAGCACCCATCCCCTTGGAAGGTGTCTTCAGCTGGGCACGGTTCAGGGAATCAAGACAGACGAACACCAACAACTCATCAGTTGGCAACTGTGAAACCCTGTATAAAAAAAAAGAATCCGACAGAGGGACACATAAACCACGCCGGAGATACTGTAAGGCGAAATACACCGTACAGAGGTATGACAGCAAACAAGTACCACCTCTTCCCTCTTCTTCCCTTCTTCCTCCCTTCCACTCCCCGCGCCCCCCCCACACACACACCATCCTTTCTCCCATCCTTCACCAAAAAAATAAAAAAATAAAAATAAAAAATGCAGACGAGTTAAACACACAACAGCAGTTCGAGCATAAGAGTTTCTAGAGGGACTCGAGGGCGACGGCCTTGAGAGATCGTGATTGAACTGGCTGTCCCCAGGTAATTCCGAATTGATTTTGTTCTGTGCTGCTGATTGCATCTGGATTTGAACTTGGGTCTGTGTTTTCAGCTTTTCATGTGTGTACCGCCTGAGCTAGGCCGGTATCTGGAGTGGATTCTGCTCCCTGAGCTCAAGGAGCTCACACAATATAATTGTTCTGATCGGCCTCTCGTTCTCATCTAAGCGGCTATGCCGGAGTGGTTAACGGGTCAGACTCGAAATCTGATGGGCTCTGCCCGCGCAGGTTCAAATCCTGCTGGCCGCGAATTGATAAATGCAAAATGCTTGGTTCTTTTAAATTCCAGAGAGGGGGGTCCTTGTGAGGGCCCCATCGGAAAGAAAGACAGGGTCGTCACTCAGGGGGAGGCTCTGGCTGGGGTGTGGGGTTCGAGGCCAGTTGGCCCCTGAATCTGGAGGACATTTCCTATGACTGATGTAAGCCTTGGGCACTGGGCTTGTAATGAA